ACATATTGTAAAGAAACTTTTTGTTTGTATTTTAGCACAGTTACAATATGATGTGTATATACTATTATATCGTTGTATAATGTTTGTATATTTTTCATAACTGAAAATAAAGTAATTTTACATATGGTTTCCTTCATTTAATTCCTTTAGTACCACATCATTCACTTTACAAACCAAAGCACTGGCATCATATTCAGGTCAGCGATGCAACCATGATTATTCCATTTAATAAATGCAGTCATTTTTTGTGTGAATCATACTTCTGTTTCACTGTATTACTATTTAATAAAATTACTCATAACTGCACTAATCGACATCATGCAAGTAACCGATTGTCATGTAGTTGTAAATGGGTTTTGCAATTTGAATTTTGTAAATTACAGGATGAAACTATTATGAAAGCTATCTTCTTCAGGAAACAAAAAGATGTTTAACAAAATTTAGATTTATTCTTATACTGTATGTCCTACAATACTCCATTTGTACATTGCAATTATACACCACAAACAGCAATATCAAAATTGCTATATTACAAGATATATAACAATAACAGAAATACAAAGAACAAAAATGTAAAAAAAAAACATTATTTACCCTCCTAAAAAAAAATTCATCAACATTTTAAAATATTTATAACAATAATAATAATAATAATAATAATAATAACATATATGAAATATCAGACCCATTTATTCTACCTGAATAAATAACAAAATCACAACATGCTCTCAGTCCCATTCATTGACCTCCTTCTTAATAAATGGAGGCCACATTTTGATAACTTCAGCATGTAGTTCACTGTCCTGGAACCACTGCAGGTATTCCTTCTGGAGGACTGCAATTTGAGGAGAGGAAGGCAAGATTAGAAGAATGGCAAAATGTGTAATTGTGTGGTAAAATGTGTTAGTATTAATATTCACTAAGTGGGTAAGCTGATACACTGATATTAACTATGTATATACTGATGATGAGTGCATTTAGATATGTTGCTAATATCAATGGGATACACTTATTGCTAACATTGTAAGCTTGATTACTGAATGGCCTAAATACTTGGGCTTAATTTTGTTTTATAAGGCAATAAATGATTATAAAAAAAATAACATGAAGCCTTCGAAGTGAATCCTAAATTCATTCTGTAAGTCCCTCGTGATTTATATTTGCGCTATATGCAACTAAGCCAAGATTTCTTTGCACACTCTATGAGTAATCTTTTAATGGTCTCTGCAAAAAACTATGGGTTTAATGGATATTTACAGATCAAATGCAATACTTGACACCTATTCAAATATTCAAGAGATGTTTCAAAAGGAGTTTCTCTGATTCTCATTTGAGAATGAGTGACCAGTTTTAGTTATATTAGATTATGTCAGAAATACAGGTACTTCTGACAAATACATAATCAAAACCAGTTTGATGTATCTCCTGCACTGGGAAGGTATTCATTCTCATTTCTACATTGTAACAATGAACATTGATCAGCTGATCTTCATTAGAACCATAAGAAATGGCAATTCCTTTTTCCTGTTCATGTAATAATTTCTTCCCACACTAATATCCCAACTGCCAGAAAACAACCCATTAAAATATCATAACAGAACCTCCCCCTTTTAAATAGAGGAGGGCCATGCAAGGATAATCTACACATATGTAACATCTACATGAAAAACACATATGATGTCAGCCAGGACCTTCTTTACTCCCCCAGCTCCCTCTTTTTCACGCTATACCTTTCTGGTTATTTATTTCATTCTCACATTACAACATTATCGTGGTAACTGTAACGGTAAAAACTGTGATCATCATATCAAAATTCCTCCCTTTTTCAACTGGACCCCTCAATAAGATTCTACTATCACAGGAAACTGGAGAAATGAAGCCCAAGGCAAAACAACTGCAAATAAACAAAAGAAGAAAATTTCCTGAGACTCACATTTTGGTTGTATTTTCCACAGGCTTTCCAGCTTTGCATAGCCAGTGACCTTCTGACTCATTAACGCACGCAAGATGTTATCTCTCTGTTCACGATATCTGGAGGATACAGAATACCATAATTAATTATAAATCTGATACTTATTGAAAGATCAGGACTGAGTAACAATAACAGAATTTGAAAAACGTCTGAAATTAACAGTTAGACGTAACAAAAAAAATATTTGTATTTAAAAACATACATACATATATATATATATATATATATATATATATATATATATATATATATATATATATATATATATATATATATATATATATATATATATATATACATATATATACATATATATATATATACATATATATATATATACATATACATATACATATACATATACATATATATATATATATATATATATATATATATATATATATATATATATATATATATATATATATATATATATATATATATATATACATATACATATACATATACATATACATATACATATACATATACATATACATATACATATACATATACATATACATATAC